TTTCACATTATCTTTTCAGAAGATTTTGAGAAGAATTTTCAAGTTTTATGCCATTCACTTCACAGTCCTAAGGGTTTTACAGTAGTCAGAAAATAATGAGTAACTAAGACTTTTTGCAACATTTACTCACACAAATTACTTTGGGGGAGGAGGGTTACAACAACACCCATAACAAATTACCTTAAAAACAACTTTCCAAGTACCCAACAGAACAATAAACAACTGAACTGCTGAATAGCTCAATGAGAGATGTCACACCACCCCAAACCGACCCATTTCTTTCCGCGCTTCCGTTGCAATGGGCAGGAAGGTGGGCCAAGGGCAGGGGATTGTGGGAGTTGTAGTCCAAAACTTGTGGAGAGCCCCCGCCACCCCCTTCTTGAAGCAAACTGTTATGCTCAAGCCACTGATCACTGATGGAAAAGGCTTCAGGAGTCAACCTCGAGGCAAAATCCGGAGCCGGAGTGCCGGGGGCAGTTTGTGTCATTCTGTCAACTCCTGCGACGTCGTTGGAACCAGTTGTATTGGCTCTTGCCTTTCCATTGGACTATTTCAGTGACGTGGAGAGTGGGGGTTTGCTGGTTGGGTAACAGCCTATCCTCCATATTATTTTACCCAGGCTTCGTGCCCCGGAGAGGACACTCCAGCTTTGCGTACAGCGTCAAAACACTAGATGCTGTTCCAAGTCCTCCACACAGAGCACATTACCATAGTCTCTCAAGACTGAAGGATGCTTATGATGACATGCTGCCCTTTTTGCCTTCACTAAACGGATCCTCAGGGTTCAGGGAGGAGGAGCAGCTGACTTTCCGCAGTGCATTTGCTTAAGTCTCTCTATGACAGCCCCGGGGATTTTGCCCTCAATGTTCTCAGTTCAATTTGAGAGCTTTCTCTCCCAGAGGATTTACACATAGAGGCACATCACACCAGAAGACCTCAAGTTCGACGTCCCTCAAAGCCATTTAAAGTCGGCCAGCTGAACTTTCTTCCCCCTGACAGCCAGCCAGCCACAACAGGACAAGAAATGCCGGAAAACTGCCAAATTTCCACCCACCCAGGATGACCCAAGCCAGCCCCATCCCTAGAAATCCTCCCACGCCACCCAAACCAACCCATTTCTCTCTGCGCTTCCCTTGCAACGGGCAGGAAGGTCGGCAGGAAGGTAGGACGGACAAATGGGGTTTGTCTCTCCCTCCCCACCCAGGTGTGAGGCAGCGCTTCACCAGGCAAGGATGGGGACCCGAGACCCTTTCCTTCCACCCAATCCACACTCGGTGCTCCCCTAAGGGAGAAAGGTGAGACGTGGCAGGCAGAAAGAGCTGGATCCACTGCCAGCACAGGTTTGGCTGGCTCCAGCACCCCCCTACCGCCCCTGTTCCTTCTGCTGCCACACCGCCCCTTTTCGTTCTGTTCCTTCGCTCCCACGCCGCCCCTTTTCGTTCTGCCGCCCCTCTGAAAAATGAAATCGCCCTCTGGGGGGCGTTATTGCCCACGTTTAGAACCACTGCAATAGACCATGCCAGAGATGAAGAACCTTTATCTGCCCAAAGGTGTAATTACATTTCAGTTAAGTTTTGAGAGACAAAACATTGGCATACTTGATTTTCAAGTCTTATTTCCAGTAACTAAGTCACAGGGGAGATATCTGGAGCTTCTAGGATGGGGAAAATGTCTACAAAAGCTCTCAAACCAACAAACAAATCGTGGAGAAAGCATTGCAACATGGGCCAGATAGACTGAGGTTTCCCACTCCTGCATTTTTACTTCACAATCAGTCAATCTGCTCACCTACCTACCTGTCCCGCCTGCCTTTGTCCCCAAAATACACAAAGCAGCTGCATCCTAGAGATACTTGTGAAGACTCCAGGCATGTACAAAAGTGTAAGTATTGTTGAACTATTATGGTATTAGCTGGTAAAAGGAAATCAAGAATAACTGATGCTGAACTATTATGATTATTCACATTGTGGTTTAACCAATTTCCTTAGACTTCCAGAACACACCTGGGGAACAGATGGTCCTTCAGATGTTCTTGGCCTCCGATTTCTATCAAACACCAACATCTGGAAAATTAATGGTTCCCTGGGCCTGTTCTCAAACAATTTTAGGTGTCCGACTATGGATTTGCTGTACTTAAATTGAACAGCTAATAGGATTTTGCAGGATATATAGTCAGCAAAATAAAATTCATTTTCTTTCCTTTACAAGGTAACAACCTTGAATCTATCAGCAACAAAACCAGTGGAGCTGCAGGAGCAAGCAGAAACAGTAATTCTTACACCCCTGCAAGAGGAGTCATACCAGATACTCCACCTTATCTAATAGTGACTCGCCCACCTACTCCAAGAACAGGGGAACCTGTCTCTCATCTACCAAGACAAGGGTCTTATCCAAGGGGGCCTCACCCTGGAATTGGAAAGGGGAAGATGCACTAATAATTTCATAGGTGTTGGATAGTAGCATTTTTTTCTGTACAACTGTGACTCTGCCAGCAGGGACCCTCCAACTTTCAACTGTACAACATTCACATTTTACATGCTGAACCCAGATTTAGTCACATGCAACTACTTAGGCAGACCTGGACTTTCTTGCCCCTTTCCTGACAGTCCCTCAGACCCTAGAAAATTCTACAGGTCAGGAAGACTGTGGAGGGGAGAAAACCGCATTTGTTACTAAGTAATGAAGCTAAATAACTTACCTTTACACGTGTTGCACCTACTGTGTTCTTCACATGACATTTGGACTTACAAGAAATGATGTTTTATTCACCTTTGCATCATCTCTTTAATGTCCTAGTTGGAGCATGCATAATACTCAAGTCTTCAGGAACACTGAGTGGGGAATGAAGAAAGGTGTGTTCAAGGACACACAGTATCGACAGCTGATGTAGTGGTCAGTGTCAGAGCAAGACTCAGGAGACTTGGGTTCAAATCCCTACTTGGCTATGGAAAACCATTGTGGGGTGGCAGTGGGAAACCACTCCTTGAACATCTTTTTACCTTAAAACCCATTAAGGTTGTTGTAAATTGGAAGAGCCTTGATAATAGCACCAAGCACTAACATGACAATTGTGAAAGATGGGGCAATGCTGACCTAATTTTAGGTGGAGATTGTTATCTTGTACTTGAATGTGGGGATACTGAACTATAGAAAACCCCAACTGGAAAGCTAGCTACATTTCATGTCTCATTAAATGCAACGTAATGTACTTTATTAGCGACAGGTGAGAAATGTTCTTATTACACAAGACCAACTAATTTTTCATAAGCGTACATTCAAATTCCCTAGAACTCTGTATCAAGCCAAGCAATAAGAGCATAATGAAAAGGCTCTAGTAATCAAATTCTTGTATACTCTTGTGGAATGTTAGATCGTTCTATTATGTTATTTCCCTGCCATGTGGAGTTGGGATGCTGTTTTCTTCTAAGTGACTGACTCAGCTACCTTTGGGGATTTATTGTTGCATGAAAAAACCCACATCCATATTCTGCAAAGTCATGTTATATAACTCATGTCAAGTAATGTTGATACGAAGTTAAAAATATAAATTTATACAAAATTAGGTTTTGATAGTTATAAACTATGTTTCATTATAATGAATTCATTCTATTTATCATTTTTTAAAAGGATTTGCATATTAATCCTCCTGGGTCAGGTGCATTATGTACTTATGACCTTGCCAGAAATAAACCCTCAAGCCGAAACAAACATACAGCACAATGGCAAGTTAAACACTAGGTGAAGTGAATTCCACAAGTAGCAGTAGCAGTAGCTAAAACTATAAAATAAACCAAGCTTAGTCTGTAAGAAAGATCTTTATTTTCATTTCTGACTGTACTCCTGAATTCTTGTTACTGCATTAGGACCACTCCGTGGTAGTTCCTACCCACTCAGTTGCCTGAGCAGTGGGAGCTGCAGACCAGTCTTCAGTGGCAGGCTGCGCACTCCAATCCTCTGAAAAACCAACACAGAATCACCATCAGGAATTGCAAATACAAGGAAACATCTCCAAGTGTCCTATTTACAACCTACTCACTGTCAGGAATATAGTTTTTTCAAACATAAGTGTAATGCAGATCAGGGAATGTTGTGGAAGGACAAACAGGGTACCAGAGATGGGAGGAAACTCAATGAATACTAAATGTTAATGTGTATGGGATAGGGCTGTCTTCTTCATTAATGACAAAAGCAATCCAGTGGTGCTTCAGGAGAAGAATCAGACAGCAGGATGTGGCCGCTGCCTAAGAAACACAAGGAAGAGCTCACAATCCTCATATTCTCTGGGGAAGCTCCTTCCATGTCCCTCAAGGGACAAGATGAAGGACAATGACAAAGAGAAGAATGGCCCTAGCACCAATTACATTGGGTACTGGTTCTGCCCACCTTTGGTTCTTGCTTATAATAGGATGTGCCCCCATTTCCTCACAACAAAACAGCCACTGGGTCAAAAAAAGGTTCCTGCCTAAATTATGTTGGATATTTCATAATCAATCCAAAAGTTTTTCTTCTCCATCCTATTCCTTAAGACACTTACCAGCTGGGAATGGTTGTATTGGAACAGAGGGCACCTGTACTCCTTCAGACCAATCAGCCACCTCAGGCTGTGGTGGTGCAGTGAATTCGGGTGCAGGGGCAGTCCATTCACCCTGGAATTCTTCCTTTGTAACTGCCTTCTCAGCTGCAGCCTGCTCCTCCTTTTCAATCTGAAAGAAAAACACCAGAAGTTAAAACTGTAACTACTGCTTTTGTTAGATGGCTGAACTACACTGGATTTCTTTCAGAAACCAGAGTGCTTCTGGAGGTGTCCAAGTAAAACGCCATAAAATGATTTTGAAACTCAGTGTATCCATGTCCATGCAAACTCCATTTTCGAACTAATTCTTTTACTCATCAGTTTCTGAGCTACCACCATGTGTAATTAAAGTCCCACCATGTAAAACCCATTTCAAAATAAATATTAGGCCATTATAAAAGACTCCACCAAGATAAAGTACATAACTATTAAAACACATAAAATTATTCTTTTCTTTCAACTTCCCACCACGCAATAAAACCATACTAGGCTTTTACCTCTTCAGGATCCCGGTAGAAGTAGAGATCAGGCATGACCTCCCATGGATGCTCACGGGAAATAGTGCCACGCATACGGAGAACCTCACGAGCCAACATCCACCACATCAGGCCAACAGAATGAGCTCCCTGGAAGAGACATTAAATATTCACTTGTCATTTTATTTTTATGACATTCACCTGATAACATGATTATATTCATGAGTAAACTTTTCAGTCCACTTTCCAGTTTCATTGCCTATTAGAACAACCACGACTTTTTGATATAAGACGGGTACTGTTCAGAGAATTTGTGGAACCAAAATGCAATAAAATCAGGTAATTCCACACATTATCTTCCTCAGGACCTATGCTATTTCTCATGAAAATGTGGCAAGAATCACTATCAAACCCCATTCATTGGACCACAAAATCCTTATGGCGTTAGCGAAAAATCTTGTCAAGACTGATATAGCACACTTCCTACACTCAGGAGTTCATCAGCCAATAACTGACCTCAGCTCTGAGCTCTAACAGTGTGCATATGAACCATTCTTCCAATCAAACAAACTACTACCCGTTTCCCTGAAAATAAGCCCTAATATGATTTTTCAAGATGCTCATAATATAAACCCTACCCCAAAATTACGCCCCAGTTAAGTGAAACCTCACTCTCCATCATTGTGCAGCAACCAGAAGATGATGACATGACTGTAAAATAAAACATGCCCTGAAAATAAGCCCTAATGCGTTTTTGGACCAAAAATTAATTTAAGACCCTTTCTTATCTTTGTGAAAACACGGTAAAACAAGATCTTATGCCTTTAACATATTTAGTAGAAAACCATGGATCAATATGTCAGATAATACATTACCTTGTTGTTGCATGGAATTGCAATATCCACATAGCGCAGAGGAGAATCAGTGTTGCACAAGGCAATGGTTGGGATGTTCACATAAGAAGCCTCAGTCAGTGGCTGATGATCAGCTCTTGGGTCAGTGACCACCAAAAGGCGGGGTTCACGGAAGGCAGCCTGGATCTGATTGGTGAAGGTGCCAGGAGTGAAACGGCCAGCAATTGGTGTAGCACCAGTAGCAGCAGCAAATTTCAAAACAGCACGCTGCAGTGTAGAGGTAAGAAACTAAGCTGAAAGTATCAAATCATTTTTAATGAAAAGCAATTCTGCAGCAATTTCCTTCATGAGACCGTCATTTTGGGAAACCAAGCAGATTATCTTTTCCTTTTTTCCTGGACATTCAGTTTGCAAAACTGCAGATATACTATAATACCTAACAAAACACTCAATATTGGATATTCTTTTAACCAACTGTGGAATCAGGACACCATTTTCATTTTCCAACACCCATGCCATACCTGCCCAGTATTCCTGGAAGAGATTACGCTGACATCAGCTGGATTCTCAATGGCAACAATGGCACGAGCTGCCAAGAGCAGTTTTTCCCATGTTCTCTTCAGATTGATGATGTAAATGCCTACATAAAACATGAAGAATTCCATTTTAAAATTACTAATAGCATAAACATATGCTTCTCCTTTTTACACTTGACTTTTTGCCTTGCTAAAATTGCATGAGGGAAGGGGAAGTACAATACTAGAACACAAATTTCTCTAAAAGATAAAGAACATACCCAAATCCTCTTGCATCTCTCACCATTTCTGCTGGTACCTGAAAAATGGACTCACAAAAAGTGCAAGGAGGACCCTTCTTGTTTCTTCAGTTTTTCTCCTGCAGTCATCCAGATAGTGCAGAAAACAGCAGTTGAGAACTATTGGGATCTGGGAATTCAGCGGCTCTCAGCTGCAACCCAATCTGGCTTCAAAAAGCATGCTCCACTGGATCTTCCAAATTCACTGGAGTACGTTTTGGGATTGCTCTGGTAAGCCAGTATTCTGCCCGGATGAGCTCTATTTTTACATGACCAAAAAGCCAAGCACTACATACAGCCAAACTTCATGTTCACCAAGCATTCAGTCACTAGTTATGCATCTTCATCTTATGATGTTCAGCATGTGGCAGTGACTACTATCAAACTCCAGTCACAGAGCAGAACTCTATTGGTGTTAGCGAAAATCCTGCCAGCATTTATTGTAGCACACCTCCGACACTCAACAGTTCATTGACAAGACGCTGGTCTCACTCTGAGCTTTAACGGTGTGCAGCTAAAATATGTAGCATGCCTACTATTCATCCACACTTAAGCCATCTAGTGCTTCTATCCAACATCAATAACAAAAATATTGTGGGAAACCTATGAACCTAAAAAGTTGTTATGCAAATGGGGGGGGGGAAATCCTAGCTAACAGCTCAGCCCCAGGGCTCTCCACATGATCTTAGGTCAAGCTAAATTTAACTGTAATTAAAACCCACTGATTTTTTGTGGAATAATTATATATGTATTTCTGCCATACAGATAGGGAGCAAGACTAAAGGAAATAAAAAAAACCCACTAAATTGATCAAAATGGGACTTCTATAGTGAAGCAATAAACTCTTACTGTGTTCACACACTTACAGATTATGGGAGCATTAATAATAACAAAAGTAAATTTCCCACAGTTCCAAGTGGCACACTACTATCTTACCATCACTTTTTCTTTTATAAATGTACTGTTCCATCTGAAAATCTAGATTGGTGCCTCCCAAGTGGGTTCCTGCAGCAAGGAATTTGAGGACATCTTCCTCCTTCATCTGCAGGACATCCAGGCCTCCGGACATTGTGAAGTTTCCTTTTAAAGCAACGACAGGAAACCTAAAACCAAAGGAGCTGCTAAGTTAATTGTGGCCTTTAAAAGATCGCTATTGCCATTCTGCTGCCCTGCTATAAGATGCAAACACTCATTTTACTACCTTACCTATGTAACTGTAAAGAATACTTAAGATTCAAATTCTCTTTCGGTGTTTTCAAACTCACTTCTACCAAAAGAACGTTGTCTGCTGCCTTTGAGTCTAGATGTTGCATCGTATGCAGGAGCAAGAATACAGCCAAACCCAGAATAACGTAAATATACCCACTTCAGCCCATCAACGTAGGACTGCTTAAACTACTAAGTGATCAGCAAGCAACCCTCGCATTTTACTAACACACTCATCTTGCAAGCACCCGACAGTGGCATTGCCTCAAGTCTTTATGACGCCCACTTTTAATTTACGTGGTTCGGTCTTTCTACTTTGCCCTCAACGAAAACTTGCGAAACGATGAGAAATGAACACTAATCGTTCCGTATTGCAGAAAAAGCGGAAGGCCTCGGCAGGCCGGCCTGGCCTGGCCTCCCACTTTCCGCCCCGGAGCTTCCGCATTTCGGACTTGCGAAGCACGATGTAACACGGCTTTCTTCTCCCAAAAAACCTCCCTTTGCATTTCCCTTTCCAGCCCCTTTATTTGCCCAGCTACTCTGCCCCCCAACACAGCCACCGGAGGACTCACACAGGACAAAGCCGCGTGGAAGCCTCTCTAGAGTAGGAGAGAAAGAGGGCCGCAATTTTCGATGACGTCTATATATACCTTTTACTTCCTCCAATCAAATCCTGCTTCCCCAGAAAGGTAGTGACGTCGGGGCGACACGTTCTTGATCTCCGCCCATCCAGGGCGGGGAAGGCCATCATTTCCGGGGGTCGTTTCGGTGCCGCCATTTGCGGGCGGAAGCCAGCGTGAGCCAGACGTAGAGGGTCGGTCTAGGAAACGGGAGCAGTTAACCAGAAAAGTGATTTGCTTGCCAGCGGAAAGACAACAAAAGTGACGCAGGAATGTTTTGGAAATACTTTAAAGCTCCACAAGACTCTTGGATTTTGCTGTAACCGCAGACTAGCAAAGTTATTCCTCTGGAGGTTTTTCCCTACTCTGTGTACGGGTTATTGTATCTGTGTACGGCTTGCTCCGCGCCCGATTGGGAATCGTAGATGGTTTGGTAATTTCTCCGGGTCTACCATCTCTTTGTTGCCTAAGACGAGAAGATTGGTGTGTACTTGCAGGAGAACCAGAGCTGCGCGGTACCGCACTGCGGATTATCTGTGATGTCTTGGGTCATCGTGAAGGCTACACCGATTTAAGATCCACGAAAGCTTATATTAAAAATATAATAGTCTTTAATGTGCTGCAACGTTTTTGTCTTTTAATACGTTTGCGCGAACTAACACGGCTACCTCCTAAAATGACTTTATTTCAGCATCAGGTTCATCTTTCGTAGACGACTGCCTACTTTTATTAGCTTTCCTTTACTGCCAGAAACAGGCAGCAGGCACCGTGGACAACACCCAAGTCCTGTTTTGTTTTTTGTTTTTTTTAAAAAACTTTTTATGAAGCGGGTACCATTTGTACCCATCTAGTGCGGGGGGGGGGGAGGCGCTATCAAAAATATCCATTTTCTCCCATTTCCGGATGGGGTTGATTCGCTATTAACACTACAAATAGGTTGGCTGACATTCTGTAAGAACACCGAGGAGTGGCGCTCTCTCCCTTGAGACTCACTTCGGAGAGGACATGCCATCACCCAGGCAAGACAGCTGCATTTTAACATTTTTTGCCTCGGTGAATACTTTTCCATTTTGTCTGTCTAACGGGACTTTGAGTACTTCCATTGACTTTTGGGTCATGTATCTATAATAATTTCGGATTCTTCAGTGGCAACATTAAACATGTCTTCAGCCATGATTTTCATCTTCCCAGTTTTCACCTGTAGTCCCACCTTTGCACTTCCTCCTTTCACCTTCATCAGGAGTCATTTCAAGTCATGGCTATTTTTTAACAGTAATGAGATGTTATTTGGATATTTTAAATTAAATTGTTGTACACAAAAAAAGAAACATCCCCTGAAAATCATCCCTAATGCTTTTTTTTGAAGCAAAAATTAATGTAAGACCCTGTCTTATTTTGGGGAAAACATGGTACTAATTTTTTTTCACTAGTTTTCATTTATTCTTCATATGAATCTTAATCGTAGCCATGAAAAAAAATGCACAGACACTCAAAATAATCAAATCTCATTATCACAGAAGGTGAACAAAGAGAGGGGTAGAAGGGGTACCCATGTTAGTCTGCGCAAGAATTAGGTAAAAGCAAAATAGAAATTAAAAGTAAAAAAAGACAAAAACCTTGTGGCACCTTAAAGACTTTTATATTAGTCTTGTCCATGAAAACTCGCATATTAAAAATATCTAAAATTTAGTCTTTAAGGTGCCACCACACTTTTGACTTTATTTTTGTTTCTATTTTGCTTTTACCTGTAAAGAAAGGGGATGGGACACTCAGGGAAATAATTAACTCTCTACAGTCAGTATCTTAGGATAGAAAATGGGAGGAAGGAATTGCAGACTCTTTCAGCTATACAGTATACACACACATACTGTATATACAACACCCTCATTCCTTGTTAAATGGTATTGCAGCTTAATTCAAGTTCACACATCCTTCTGCATCTCCCTTGAAAACCAATCAGGACATGATCCTGTCCTCTCTTAAGATTCAAGAGGCAGTTCCTGGGATAATGTCTGCAGAGGCTGTTCCAAGTGGGCCCAGAGTCTTAAAATGAGCCTAGCCATCAAAAGCTAGATTTAAAAAATGTACGGCACCTGCTGCTCCTACACAATTTCATATTGAGCATGTGTATGCTCTTTAATGCCTTCATTTGCTCTTGGGTCTGGACTTGCAACAATTGCTGGGGGAGTGGAAAGGAGAGAACCTAAAAGAGCTGAGTTGCAAATGGCCAGGAAGATAGCAGAAGTCTATACAACACCTGTTATTCCCAGGCAGTCGCCCATCCAAGTACTAACCAGGCCCAATGTAGTTTAGCTTTCAAGATCACATAAGATTACGCAGGGTGGTATGCCCATAGGCACTATACTCCTATTGTCTCCCTTGAAGTCGAAGGAGGTCCTGATAACCTAATACCAGAGAAAGGCAGAGACCTGCCTACTCCTTCATCACTAGTACCACCTGCCCCCACCTGGGACTACCAACACCACCACCGCACCCCCTGTATAGAGTGTGCATGTGTCTGGTCTCTGGGTGTCTGTGAATTTCATTGTATGGGTATATTATGTATATACTTACAATGACAATAAATAAATAAATAAATAGATAGATAGATAGATAGATAGATAGATAGATAGATAGATAGATAGATAGATAGATAGATAGATAGATAGATAGATAGAGGCAAACATGGCCCATCAACTTTGCTTTTTAGCCCAACACATCCATGGCAGCCATCCCCATCCTCAGCTGGGCCTCACAGGATCCCAAGAGGCAGATAGGGCAAGGCACAAGTGAATCCTGCCAGCTACTCTGAAAGACCCATAGGTCCTCATCCCAAACCTTTTATCAGCAGAGAGACACACAGGGCACTTTCTTTTGCTCCCCCCTTCTGCTGATTTTAACTCATTTCCCTTTTTCTCTCTCTCATCAGTGATGATTGTGAGCTTTCTTGGTTGCTTCTGTGGAAAGGAGCGGAGCAAGAAAGAGAACCCTTTGGACCTTTTGTCCCAGGAGTGACCCCTTTCTGGGGACCCTGGGGAATGACGACAATGTATGTTCATCAATGCCTTCAGTATATCTTTTGTTGCACCTTGGTGCACCTGAAAGGCCCTCTTAGGCTCAGGGAGGGGGTGTTGGCTCAAAAGCCACTGAACATCGAAAAGCCAGCAAGAAAGCAAAAGCCTACATCACCTGGTATTCCCTGGTGATCTCCCATCCAAATACTAACCAGACCCAACTCTTCTTAGCTCCCAGAGTCAGGTGCGATCAGGTATGTTCAGGATGGTACAACAGTAGGCAGAAGGAATGCTCCCTGGGTCTCCCTACAAGTCAAAGGAGATCCCAACAGCCCTAAACAAGACACACTTGCCTGATTTCTGGCCCTCCAGGCCTGCTTGCCACTTCCTGGGGCTTCTGCCAACATTCCCAGCCTCCAGGCAATCCCTGACATAAGGCCTGCCAGACTGCTCCCAGGCAACCAGAGCCAATTACCCCACGGGTCAGTCGCAACAACACATCCTTAGATTCTTGCCCCTTTCACTCCTGGCAGGAAGGAAGGGGACAAGCAGACCACACACATGAAACACCTGCTAGCCAAAGAGATGGGGGGCCCGGGGATTTTAAAAGGCGCAACTTTCTCCATAGCTCCTTTTTCAAGCATTTCTTTCACATCTATGCTCACCTTGGGACCGAGCTCGTCGGACCTTCCTATTGTGCCGTTGTCCACAATCGATTACCCAGTCCTGGCAGGAGGTTGGATGACAAACCTGCTTGGTCGGAGAGTGGCTAATCCATTGCGGAGAACAGTGCAATAAGAAGCCTCCGTGGAGCCGGCAGCAGTGGCAAAATCATGAGTGGACAGTTATGAAAATGGCTACTGTTTTTAGAGTTGTACTAAACATAATTTCAACCATGACTGTTGATTTTGTTTCAACTATTGATTTTGTTTCAAAGTACAGAACAGGGATTAGGAAAGTGCACCCCACAAACATGCAGCCATCAAGGGTCTCAACTGGGGTCCCTGGGGGAGGCAGGGCTAATTACTAAAATTTAAGCACAAAAACAAAAAGGGTGTGGCTCTAAAAATATTTTCTTGGGGGCACAGAAAACTGTTTTGTCTGATTGGGGCTCCCTTAGTTGTTTTTAGGCCATGGGGCTAAAACCAAAAGTCAACTAAAAAAGTCCACGAACAGCCAAGTAAATGTCATAATTGTTCCCTAGCACTATTAAAAGGATTTTCAGCAAGAAAGAAAAATGAAAATATGGGAGTAGGGGACAGGGAGGGTCAATGGAGCAGTTGTGGCCTTCAGTGCCCCAGAACAGCTGTGTACAGGCTGGCAACCTCTGGCAGTTGCCTCCCTCTATTACAGAGGCATCAATCAAAAGGTAGTGGTGGTGGGGAGAGAATACAGGGAAAGGAAGGTTTAAACAAAAGAGAAGAAAAGCAGCACTTTTAAAAGGCCATGCTTTTAATAATAATAAAAGAGATAACTGAAGACTCTGAAGTAAAATGGAATCCATCATAATTCAGACAAAAAGAAGTTCTCACATTAGGTCTCAAGGTCTCAGATCTTTGGAAAGAACAAGATAGCTTTTTAACAACATGAAAGCCCTGTTATTACTGAACTCCCAAGTCCCATCATCCTTTCTAGAGAGCTGCATTGATTCCATCCTTGAGGCTGATTGTTTCAACAGAGCAATTTGGAATATGTGAACAAACTAAAGGAAGGCAGAAATTGAAAAAAAAATGGTATAATACTGTGTATGTGACCGTTGAATTGTGTAGCAGTGCTTTCACATTACTAAAAGCTAGATGACAACTGAGCTGTTCAGATATCAAGAAATTACTCTCATCATTCCTCACTATTGTCCATGCTGGCTCAGGGTCACGGCAACTGATATCCAAAAGTATCTGGTGGTACACAGTCCCCAACCCTAATTTAAATAAATGACATATTGTCCAAAGCAAAGTTTGTACCAGCATATGACTTTTCAGCTACATTTTAAACAGGAAAAACAAGGCTATGGTTCCTGTATGTAGGATCTTTGGAGTGTTTAATGAAGACATGGATGACATGGAAGCAGAGGATATATGAATCTTAAAAGTCTCCATTGCTGAACACACTAAAGCTATAACGCAAAAAAAGTGGCCCTTCAGATCATGCTGGACTGCAACTCCCATCAGACTTTGCCAGGATAACTAATAGTAAGGGGTCATGGGATGTGCAGTCCAACAACATCTGAAGGGCCACATGTTCCTCAGCCATACTGTAAAAAAACCAGAAAATCACAGTCTCCTCATGTAGCTTCCAGTCCTAGCATTCATTTTTAACACCTAGCACACTAGCAACTTCAGATGGCAAGTTCCCCAAATGATGTCTTTCCTGAAGTCTTTTATAAAGCTCTCCTCTATACTGTTTGTTGAGTGTACAAGCAAGAACACAGAGTGAAGATGGAGCACACTGGAGAGGCACCACACAACCATCAAGCATTTCCATGGAGCGTAATGAGGGTGTTAGATTCAGAAGACCCAACTGCTAGTACTGCACCTTCACACTCTTCATTATATCCTCTGCAGATGTTCAGAACAGCTGAACGAAATCTTCCTAATTAGGTTCCTCTCAAGAAGACATGCTTTTGCAGTGGCACAGCTGACACATAAAAATATCAAGATTTGGGCACTTCTCATAACCAATATGACACAGTCTTCTTGGAATGCTTCTCAAATCATGACTAAAACAATCTTTGACTCCACTCACTTCCATTTCTTAAAACAAGCCTCAGGAGTCAGGCATGGCTTCTGCACATATCACGTGGAGCAGACCAGACTGCCAGTCTTACCAACTGACCAAGTCTCCTTTGGTCTCAAGTCAGGCCATTCAGGACTTCAAGCCCATTTTAGACATCATCTGTTCATATAAAGTCCATGCCATTGCTGCCATCAGTGTGCGTCGCAAGGCCCTCGGGACAGCACCACGGAAAAAGCCAACCAATCCATAATCCTGTAACAAGGAGAAAGAAGCAGGCACCATCTGTATTTACAATAATCCAAACCCTTGAATAACTAGATGGCATCTTAAGGTGCAATAGAGTTTTACTAATTCTAATTTTCCACATGAAGGTACCACACAGATGTATCCTCTGCCCAAAACCCTTGGTGTATGCAAAAACAGAACAAGAGAGAAAAAGAAAAGTATTCCACTTTTTAAAATCAACCATTTTATTTCACTATTAGTTTTTGTGGATTACAATCCACTTCTTCAGATATGAAGCCCTGATGAATGAACATCAAAGTGTTTCAAAGCTATCATTTGTCACTATTTCTCCTACCCCCTTTTAAAAGGGGGGGGCTTGGTGGCGCTACAGGTTAAACTGCAGAAGCCTCTGTGCTGCAGGGTCAGAAGACCAGCAGTCGTAAGATCGAATCCACGTGATGGAGTGAGCTCCTGCCAACCTAGCAGTTTGAAAGTATGACGATGCAAGTAGATAAATAGGTACCACCTCAGTGGGAAGGTAACAGCGTTCCATGTATAGTCGCGCTGGCCACGTGACAACAGAAACAGTCTTTGGACAAATGCTGGCTCTATGGCTTGGAAACGGGGATGAGCACCGCGCCCTAGAGTTGGATACGACTGGACTAAATGTCAAGGGGAACCTTTACCTCCTACACCCTACTCCTTGCAACATATTTCCCTGCTACTTGAAAGATTCTCCCTCCTTTTCTCCATCGGACCTCACCTCTAGTAAATTCTAGTCAAAGGTTGTACCATTAATTAGGTTGCACAATGGTTATACATTAATAGCATTGATGGTAATGCACATGAAGACCTGTCATGTAATTCACTAATCGGGTACCACCAAAGGCGCATGAGGCCAATTCAGTTTAAGGGTAATGCTTCCTGAACAGGTGAACATCTTTATCTATGTTCTCTGCATTACTATCAGTGTTATTAATGTATAACCACCATGAAACCTAATTAATGGTGTGATCTTTGACTAGAATTTACTGAAGCTGAGGTCCAATGGAGAAAAAGAGGGAGAATCTTTCAAGCAGGACAGGTGAGGCATGTGCTGACAGGAATGTTCATAAAAATCTAACTACTGCTATTACCATCACAAATTTCAAATGTTTCCCAAAGCACCATGTTTTCTATTTAATACATACCATTAAAGGACAGAAAGAAAAATACAGAAAATCATCAGCCTTAAACAACCAATTGACATGGCTATTTACATACACAATTAACATGAAAATAGAATAAAAAGTAGAGTGGTGCCTCACAAGACGATGTTAATTCATTCCGTGAAAAACGTCGTCTTGTGAAAACATTGTCTTGTGAAATGCGGTTCCCCATAGGAATGCATTGAAATCTAATTAATGTGTTCCAACGGGGGGGGGGGATTGGCGTCTTGTGGAAAAAAAGTCTTGTGAAACATGTTTTCCCATAGAAATGCATTGAGATGTAATTCATGTGTTCCTATGGGCAAAAAAAAAAGTCAGAACAAAGTCAAATAAGAAAACTTTATAAATATCATAGAAAAACATTCGTCTTGCAAAAAAGTGTCCGTTAAAAAATTGTTTTGTTAGTCGCGGACCCAATTGTCAAAAACATCGTCCTGCAAAAAAGCGTCTCTTTAAAAAAAATCTTACGAAGCATAGACCCAAACATTGTCTTGCGAAAATCGTCCATAGGAAAAACCACCTTGCGAAGCGCAACAGCGATCACAAAAACTAATCGTATTGTGGATTAATCATCCCGCTAGGCAATCGTCTTGCGAGGCACCACTGTATATACATTTAGTATAAACTGCTTTTAAAGAAGTAAGAATAATGGATAATAGCAACATTTTTGTTGTTTAGTCGTTTAGTCGTGTCCGACTCTTCGTGACCCCATGGACCAGAGCACGCCAGGCCCTCCTTTCTTCTTATAGCAACACAGTTGAGTCTAAAATCCTACTGAAAGAAATTAACCAATTCTCAAATGCAAAAACAAGAACAGAATTTCGTACGGTGGCTTCAGCTGATCCACAATAATATCTAGCTCAAGTTACCATCTTTCCTAGAATTTAAGACAAGGCCTTATATGAATTTTTGCTCCAAAAAACGCATTAGGACTTATTTTCAGGGGATGTTTTATTTTACAGTTATGTTATTTTCTTCTGGTTGCTGCACAAAGCTACACAATGGTGAAAGACGGGGTTTCACTTAACTGGGGCTTATTTTGGGGGTAGGTCTTATATTACAAGCATCCTGAAAAATCATACTAGGGCTTATTTTCAGGTTAGGTCTTATTTTCAGGGAAACAGGGTATCTCAAGGACCACATCTCCCTTTATGAGCTTACTCAAGTATTAAGATCATAGGAGAGGCCTTTCTCTCAGACCTGACACCTTCATAGATATGTTTGGTGAGGACATAGGAGAGCGTCTTCTCTGTTACTCCTCCCAGATTCTGGAACTCCCTCCCACAAGAGGACAGGCTGGCCCCATCTTTGCTGTACCTCCGATAGGTGAAGACCTTTTTCTTCAGGCAAGCTTTCCCTGAGTGGCTGGCTGCCTCAGTAGGTTTGTTTCAATGGATTGTTGTACCTTACTTTTGAAGGTGTTTTGGTGTTGCTTATATGTTTTGCTTGTTTTTTTAAAAAAATATCCTTTTTGTATACTCACTATTGCTAGCTGTTATTTTGACTTTTAATGATATAAGCCACCTTGGGTCCTTTTAGGGAGAAAAGCAGGGCATGTATGCATTTATGTATGTAGGAAGGAAGGAATACTCAAAATTATAGACCTGCATTCAGACTCATGTAATATTCAACTGAGGCAATAACAGGGCACAGGTAGTACTAAGCTGAGCATGCAAAATACAATTGTGGTGATCACCCTGCTTTGGCTCATATAGGAGGATATTTGCATGCACCAATGGGAGTTGTTGGGAGGTGGAGCCAGAGAAACCAGAAGGGAGGGGTGAGCCAGAGAAGAGGAGTTTGAGTCAAAGATGAGAGTCTGAAGTGAAGAGTTAGTCTATGTTTTCGCACAAACCAGGAGTGGCAAAAGGGGTCATGTACAGAATAGATACTGGGGATGCCCAGCCTATAGCTGTTACCCCTTATCGAATAACTGGTTCCTATGTTGATAAAATCTGCACAGAACTCAATGAGATGCTGAAAGCTGATATAATCACCGCATCCATGAGTCCTTGGGCTGCGCCTATAGTCCTGGTAGATAAGCCAATGGTAGTGTCAGTTTCTGTGTGGACTATAGGAAATTAAAGCATGTCACCAAGGCTAATGTCTATCTTATGCCACGCTTGGATAACCTGATTGAAACCATAGGTAATGTCCTTTCATTTCCAGGTTAAATTTAACGAAAGGATTCTGGCAGATGTCTATGGATCCTAAGGATCAGGAGAAAACTGCTTTCTCCAGTCCCTTGGGACTGTACAGATTTTGAATCATGAGTTTCAGATTAATGAATGCACCGGCCACATTTCAAAGGCTGGTGTACAAAACCCTGTATGGCCTGAGAGAGTTCACTATGGCCTACATGGATTACATAGGTATTTTTAGCCGGACCTGGGAGGAACATAAATACCACCTAGAGCTCATGCTGTAAAGGATACTGAGAGCCGGTTTGACTACAAAAGCAGCTAAATGTCAAATTGGTAACTGTGAAATAAAGTACCTAGGACATTTAGTGGGAGGAGGGATGATCAAGACCCTAGATGGATAGAGGTTATTGATATGTGGCCCATCACAAATTCCAAAAAGAAAATCTGAAATTCCTTGGACTAGCCGCATATAGGTGATTTGTACCCAATTTCAGTGAAATTGTCCAATTTAACCAAAAAGAAGCAAGCAGAGACTCTCATGGACCCCAGGGTGCAAGGATGCCTTAGACAGTCTTAAGACAGCGCTGAACTCGAAGCCTGTTCTTGTGGCGCCAGACATCGCCAAGGAAATCACCATCTACACTGATGTGTCCAATGTCGGACTTGGAGCTATACTGTGCCAATCAGATGACAGTGGAACTTTACATCCGGTAACATATGTGAGCAAAAAGCTCCATACTAGCGAAAGACATTTATCGACCATCGAGAGGGAATGTTTAGCCATCATTTGGACACTGCAGAAATTAAAGCCCTACATATGGAGAAGGAAATTCATTATCTGCAGTCATCATTCGCCTTTAAAATGGATGATTATGAAATCTAACAGTAGTAAATTGACCAGATGTGACCTGATTTTACAGGACTTTGATTTCGAAATCAGAAGTGTCAAAGGGTCCCTGAAGGTGGTTGCGGACGCTTTGTCCCAAAGACATAATGATTAGAGAAAAACTTTATGTTAAATGCCAATGTTTTAACAGTATTGGTTGTCTTAAATGTATAAAGTGGTAAGTCTGATTTAGTAGACATGTTTGGTGCCTCGACTTACGAACATCCCTACTTACAAAAATTTCGAGTTACAAAAAACTCCAGCTGCAAAATATTGGTTCGACTTGCAGCTGCAGCTTCGAGTTACAGACGGGGAAAAAACCGCGGGAGAGGCGGGGAAAATCACAAAATTTGAACTTTTAGTTAACTGTTGGCCAGCGAAGAGGCTGCTTGTCTCCTACCTCGCTCATCCCAGCACTTAAGACAGTGGATAGGGAGAAAGTCTTCAGACTGCCTGATACTGCCTGGTACTGTACAGTACTGCCTGGTACTGTACTGTACGGACTGTAATTTTTGGCTTTTTTAATTTTGGATTTTTGGATTTTTGACTTTCTTTTTTAAAACAGAGACTGCCTGTTCTGGGTGAGTACAATGTATTTACTCTACTGTACAGGGGGTTTTGCAGCTTGGTGGGGGCTAGGGCTAGGTGGGGGTTATGTTTCTGTGCTCTGATGGGTCTTGCAATGTGAAATTAAAATGTGAAAAGTAGACTGTAATATTAAATTAAAATTAAATGTGAAAATTAGATTGTAACTTTAAAATGTAAAATGTATTTATTTATTTTGCATTCTGTGGCCCCTAGGGTTTGGGTACTGTGACCTCTCTTTTGTTTTAAAATGTATGTGTTTAAAATGTGGCTCCAAGGTCTGTCTTTTTTAAAATCAGAAAATATTCTGTGAGGGGCTGTGGTGCTTGTTGATGCAGGCAGGCAGGCTTTAAAATGGAGTTTACTATAGCCTCAAGTCTCCCCCCCCATTGTCTTCTCTCTCTCTCTCTTTTCTCTCTTTTTGTGTTTAACAGCATAAACCTTTGTCTGAGGGGTCTGTGTGATGACCTTCTTTCTTTCTTTCCTCTTTCCCTCATTGTTCCTTCCCTCCCCCTCCCTCCTTTCCTGTCCTTTTTTAAATCTAAAAGGTGCTTGGGTTAAAAGGTGTTGTTTAAAAGGTGTTCCCTCCCCACTCCCTCCTTTCCTTCCCTTTTTTTGACCTAAGTTCATCTTAGGTTAAAAGAAGAAAAATTCTCCCCCTAGTGGTAGAAGACGGATTAATCGGCTGTTCCTATGGGAACTAATGCTTCAACTTTAGAATGGCTCCTTGACATACGAACCAAAAACCGCCGGAACGGATTAATTGGTTTTCAATGCCTTTCTATGGGAAATGGTGCTTCGACTTACAAAAATTTCGAGTTGCGGCCACCGTTCCAATATGAATCAATTTCATAAGTCGAGGCACCACTGTAGAGAGAAAATTGTATTATAGGGTATGTATAAGTATTGGTAAGTTATTGTTAAATATGCATGTACTTAGCTGTTTGTTTATGAGAGCAAACTGGTGGATTTCCCTCATAAAACAAACTTATTAAGCGTGGAGGACTGGCAATCACCCTTCTTTGGCTCATATTTGCATGCACTAATGGGAGTTGTTGGGAGGCAGAGCCAGAGAAATCAGAAGGGAGGGGTGAGGTAGAGAAGAGGAGTTTGGGAATGGTTGAGTTCACTAAAAGGATAGAATGAAAATGAGATTAATTAACTAACCAAATGACTCAACCTTACCCTAAAGATTAAGGCAGTTGCTTGGCTTGTCCCAAGATACTTTTCAGATGACACCTGCAAGTAGGTTTTTACGACATCAGCAGGCTGAGTAGCTAATGATGCCAGAATCCCAGCAATCGTTCCACAGCCAAAATTCACTAGAGGTTCAAGTGCTGGATCGATTTGGTCTGAAAAGAAGCAAGCAAGAAAATTTTAAAAACAAGATCAAATTTTACTAGGACACAATCATGAAGGTCCAACACTCTTAGTTCCTGCTTTATGATATTGTCAGCGGTGGCTAGTACCTGCTGTGGTGGGGTGGTGGCACAAAATGCTTAGTCACAGTCAGAAATAATAGGTGGAATCAGAGCCATAAGTTTAAATTCATTCATGAAAAAATGCACATATACAGTGGGCATTCACACATACATGTAGCAGAAGGGCAACCTAGGTGAGTGGGGCCCTCACCTCCACCTGCGGTAAGGGGCAGGCAGGAGTGAGCTGGCTGCTGGTAGCCTTAGCCAGAGGTGAGTTAGCACCTATTAGTCAAAATAGATAAGACTCCACTCATCTATTTGGACAAACAGGTGCAGAAAATGAAAACTTTCATTTAAAATACTCTCAAGAAGGAGAGTCTAATGTCCTCAACAACGTGTCACAATTGCTAACTGTTTTGGTATTTAAGTCTGGCCTCTTCTTACATCAGCAGCTTCTTGCTTCTAATGAGAAAAGTTAACATCCCAACCTCAGCTTTTAAAATATGAAAATAGCTATTCTTTTATGGATTACAATCCACTTCTGCAAACTTCCTGTGTCTGAGGAGGTGAAAGTTCTAAACTCAAACTTATTAGTCTAAGGGGACACAATACTTAAGCTTTGATTTTTTGTTGTTGTTGCTTATGCTGAAATAAAGAAACACTGCCATCTGTTTAAAAACAGCTACTATGGTATTCCAAATTGACTCTGACATAACCATTGTCAAGTGTTGCCATAATACTACAGCACACCTGCCATTAAGATAATATAAGCATTTTTCCTGATAAAAAGTTCTGTCCTCTAAAGATGCCAGCCACAGAGACTGGCGAAACGTTAGGAAGAACAACCTTCAGAACACGGCCAAAGAGCCCGAAAAACCCACAACAACCATTATCTTTTAATATTTAGTTTATTGTCTTTTTAATTGTGTGAATGCTAATGTTGTGAGCTGCTTTGGGTCCCTTGTTGAGAGAAATGCATCATATAAATAAATAACAAACAACTACTACTACTACTACTACAACCCTTACCATATGGTGCAATCTTTTTGGTCTGCAAGTAGAACATCAGATAAATGCCAGAGAAGGGTGCATCACGTAGAAGTGTTGCTGTCAAGCCACTAAACAGGCCCTGGACACCTTCAGATCTATAGATATTTCGCAGAGCTCCACATATGCTTTCATAGGCATACTTCCCACTCTGCAAATCAAACACAAGTATGAAACTTCACATCTGCATCACAAGCAAGTTATGTATGCATGTTGACCAGTACTAGTGAAAGGCAGAAAAAACTTCCCAAGAGTTGAGGGGACAACGTAGTTACAAGTTAAACATGTAAAAATGTTTAAGGTTATCAAAACCACCTCACCTCGTATCGTGCTTTCACAACTGTGATAGGCAACATACAAACAACAGCTACAGTTCGTGAGGTTCCACCCAGAAGAACTGATTGCAGGGCTGTAGGGGAGCGATCCAGCAGACAGCGCTGTTTTATCATATATAAAGTACTGAAGTAAATCCCCACACCTGGAATGCATCTTGCAAAAGACTATGAAAAGATGGCAAGCAGAAGAAAACAAAACTAGTAAGAAAAGAGATTACAGGGAAACTGCAACAGGGTGGACAGCCTGAGATGTTTGGGACTACAATTCTTATATTCTTTAGCCAGCATGATTAAGAGCCAGGGAGTATGGGAGCTGTGGTCTATAACATTTGGAGGGCACCAGGTTGTTTATCCCTGGTCACTTTTTCTTCCAAAAAAAAAAAAAACCCTCAACATATTGTTAATGTATTAGCAAGGACAGGTCTACAATCTTCTTTGGATATCCTGATATACATTTTTCATGTATAACCCCTACTACTCTGTGGGTGAAGTTAGAACTTGACTGTAGCACAGTGGTGTCGAAATGTGGCCCTCCAGATGTTCTTGGCCTTCAACTCCCAGAAATCCTGGCCAGCAGAGGTGGTGGTGAAGGCTTCTGGGAGTTGAAGTCCAAGAACATCTGGAGGGCCACAGTTCAACACCACTGCTGTAGCACAATCAGCATAGAAGCATAGTAAGAAAAGGGGTAATCACATCAAGCTTAGGAGAGGAAGCATGATGTGATTCAGAAACTAATACGCTTATTTGCACTCAAATAAATGTAAATTAAGAAAATGAAAAACTAAGGAGTAGGGAGATATGTTCCCATTCTTTACAAAAAAAGAGATCAATTACCTCTAGGTTATAGTTTTACTGGGACTCAGGGATACACAGGGACATGCCCTCAAATTTGGGAAAGGAGCTAAATGTGAAAAATACAATAACAATAATAATCACATGCCATGAAGGCAATTATGACTTATGGCAACCCTCTTCAGGGTTTCCTATGTACAGAATACTCAGAAGTCGTTTGCAATTTCCTCCTTCTGGGGGCATCCTGGGACTGTGCAGCTTGTCCAAGGACACACATGCAGGCTCTACTCGCACTGACAAATGCTTTATTTAAAAATGGCCATCAGGCAATGCTGTATATCTCACAGCAACATTCAGGTAGAACAATACATGAAGCAGAACACTTGCCCTATTTCAGAGAGCAAAGCTTCTAGGCAGCAGAGTACAGCATATGTTTAGCCAAAATAGGGGCTCCCCACCTCTAAAATACTCTTGAATATGTTCATCACTGAACCAGTCACCATCTGCTTGAGATCACAATTAAACTTCTGTTGCAATCTCAAAGTGGGCAAATGACATTCATTCCAGCAGGTTTAACACACAAAATACACTATTATTTAGGCAACTTACAGGAGAAACACCCTTCCACAGCCCCAGGATACTTTCTGTGCGAACAACTTTAAAGAACAAAGCTACCATCCCAATGCGACCTGACCTGGAAGTAAAGCCAAATCTGATATTAGAGAACAATCCTTCTGTAAAATCAGGATACATAACAGCATAATCCTTCCCACCTTCTCTGAGCCCAAACTTTCCACAGACAAAGACAAGATCCACCAAAGACTGACTTCACAAAATGAATTATTCTACCACTACTTAATGCAAAATGGGAGTTGAATCCTCACTGGCCTTATCTATTGACTTCCAATAGATAATTAATACACCATTGTGGTGTTTACCACGTGGCCCCTGTTTGTTTCACCAAACACAGAGCTCACTCAAGTATCCCAACACTCCCTTTACTGATTACAAGTTGTTTTAGGACTAGTTCTTAAGCACATTCTTAAAGTTACACAAAGCTTCAGTATTTTACTTTAACCTCTTCTATCTTAATTAATACAGGTCACACTAATCACTCCTTAAACACTCTCTCTGCCTCAAACCCCAAAAACTTTTTTCTCTCTCTTCCTCTCTGACTGAACTCACTAGACTTTGACTCACCCCTCCCTTCTAGTTTCTCTGGCTCCGCCTCCCAACAGCTCTCATTGATACATGCCAATAATCTTCTACCTGAGCCAAAGCAGGGTGATTGCTACAACCATTAATTATGTCAACATGTAAACAAATGAATATACCACTCTGGCATTTGCTATCAGGCTAGGCAACACACATCCAGTATGTATGGCACATGACGCCTGTATGTGACCCTTATCACCCCACATTTCTGGGGAGGGGGGGGTCAGGGAAACCAGTTGGGATCCAGAAGTCTCCTTGTGCTCTCTAGATGAAAAAGGTGGCAATTTTGTTTTGCTTTGAGGAGCCCATCATTTATCTTTTCTTAGTAGCCGCATGATAGTTCATAATTAGAGATGGGGACAACTATAAAAACGATTGGCTTTTTCAATGAAAATAGCCGATTAGTTAAATATTTGTCCCTTCATATTCGTGGGTTCCAGAGCCCCCATTTCTATTCATCCGTTGTATTACAAAAAACAAAAAAACCTTTCTGCCTACCAGCCACCGATCAGCTGATCAGTGGCTGATAGGCAGCTACCACTCCCGCCAAGCCACCCACCCCCACACTACCCCCACCCCCTCCTCTCCCTACTTTAGCCCCTACACCCACCAACACCCCCCTACCTTAATCGCCACTGCAGAGGTCTTCATCTGGCCTGACCTTTGCAAAGATGGCAGCTGCTGCTTCATTTAGGCTAGAGAAGCCGCAGCTGCCATCTTTGCAAAGGGCAGCCTCCAGAGGGGTGAAAGCGGGGTGGGGGGCTGGCAGCGGGGGTGAGGTTTTTTTAAAAATAACCCCCCCCACATACACACGAATCAATGAATAACTTCATTATTTGTCGCTTCATGGAGGCAACTTCGTGAGTCAACTTCTGACGATTCACGAAGCAGGACAACTTGCCAAAATAGTGTGTCGTCCCCATCTCTATTCATAATATCTAGAATGAATTACTGTGCCCCCATAGCATAGCTGAAGGAATCAGCACGCTTGGGAGTCTTCATGAAGATTATATGTTTTCAACATATAGGCAGGTGTATCAATCCTCCCAAACAGGACTGGCTCAAATAAATGAGAAGGGTGTTATTATTTTTCTTCGCACAAACTCCTAAATAATAGCCAACTGATAGACGATGAATGTATAGCTATCCCTTTCATCCTCCACATTTAGTGGATTATCCTGGTTTCCTACAGAGAAACCTAATCATATTACATCTGATTAAACAAAAAACTGAGGTTGGTGCATATTCTTCACCATGAGAATCTTAACACTTCTACCTACTGCATTATGAAACACCTCACATTCTCATTTATCTCCTCTTAGTCTCCAGTACAACCAAAAACCAAAAAAAGTCTTTATTGAAAATGTCAGATATTCACCCTTTGACAGCTGGTTGCACGGTCTGCAGTCTAGTTTTAAGAAGGTCTAGAGGTTGGAATAACAGAGTAGAGCAGGTCCCACTGACGGAACCACACACAAAGGCTTTCAGCACAGGGTGCATCTGAAAGTAAAAAACACAAACTTTGTGGAAAAAGAAAAGGAGAATTCATACATGGCACCCATCATCTTTGAAAAGTAACATATCACTGCTGCCTGTATATCCATATTAAAGCCGTTATCTTCTGCAACAGAATTCTACAACATACATTGTGGGCTTTGCTTTAATTAACCATACTAATCAAATTGATGAAATATCTGCAAAAGAACTCCTGTGTCCTGCAGAGTTTATACAAGAAAACAAATTTAAAACAACCAGAAGCTTAACTGACACTGTAGTATGTGCTTTCAGCTTCTTGTGAAATATATTACTTTGCAGTACACCTTTTGAAATTGCAGCAACTTCTATGAAAATATTCTATTAGATGCTGGTATCATTAAAGAGGACCTCAAAGTCCCTTGAAACATAATGCTTCTTTAATACGCACTATGTATATGATGAATTCATTTATTATCTCATTTTCAACACCCTGATAGTGTAAACTTCTTGCATATTTACTAAAAAATAAATTCTACTGTACTCAATGGAGGTTTACTTTTAGTTAGGTGCAGCCTAAAACCTTCATGACTGGAATTACTTTAATATTGACAAACAACATTTAAGTAAAGCAACAACCAAATAGCAAATGATTTTGCTATAAAAGGATAATCTCAATACTAAAGAGGAAATAAGTCCCACTGAACACAGTGACGTGCATTTCCAACTATGCAGCTTTTCCATTTTGCCTCCTTGCTGGATTTTTGTGGGAAAAGGCCATAAGGAGCTGTGGGAAGCCACAAAAAGGTTACAGAGCTGAAAATGACAGAAAAAAATATGTGCATGAACAAGAGCAAGAGCATAACAAAGGTCTTAGCTAGAAGTATCCCAAACTACCCTGTTTCCTTGAAAATATGACCTAACTTGAAAATAAGATGCTTACCAGGGTGTGGTACAAGAACTAAAGTTCCTTTCATATACACAGATCTATCTATATTATCCTCCCATATTCCAGACTTTCTGGATATCAGCAACTTTATTTTTATAAGTGGAAACAACAACTAGTGACAGCTGGAAACTTTTGGCACATCCCAATATACCTTCTGCAATGCTGGACCAGGCAACAAGGCAATGGCTTGTCAAAATCAGGAACGTTTTAACTCCATTAATTTATACTAGCAAACACTTAAACTTTCTAAGGTTCCTCCCCGCCCCGATGCTTAATTCTTGCTGGAACAAGGGGCCACGGCTTTGTACTTCGGGTCTGCAAACGTTCACTTTTGCCCACCGTCAAATTGCTCCCGAAACCGTTTTCACTCTGGTGGTGGAGTCACGACCGTCACCTCTTATTTTGGGACGGAAACAAGGAGAGCACACCTCCCAGCCCCAATCCGGACCACGGGAACGGCAGCTTCTCCGTTCAGGCGTACCTCAGGAGACGACAACGGCATTGGCTTGCAAGGAAAGCGACTCTTCTGCCGTCAAGCAGCGCTCAACCACCACAGGCGAACAACGGGCCGCAGGTGGCATCTGCAGGAGTGAGAGCAGGCCTCGCTACAATCCTGTATATGCGGCTCTAAGCAGACCGACTCAAGAGTAAGGCCTCAAGCGGCCATGGTGCTGAGTCAGTCTGCACAGGACCGGGCTCTTCTCACGTTTCCTTCCTCCCCCCGCAAAAGTCCCCACTGGGCCTGCCCTAGAGACACAAGGAACAACCGACCAGCTCCGCGTCTCTCCCGCCGCTGGGATAACCCCGGACCTTCCCCACCGCTCCAAAGCAACTTCTCAGCTCCACTTCGGATCTCGCAGGTGCGGACGTTCTACACAGCTTCCATCCGGGAAAATGGCTTGACGTCACAGCCCCGCCTCCGCCACTCGGCCAATCAAAGGGAGAGCGCGTCCCCCAACTGCGTGAGGGCGATAGTGTTCTTAACCCTTTTTCGTCCTCGAGCATCTTTGCGAGTCCTATCAGCACCTCGGAAGAACCTGAGGCTGCACAGATATTTTTGGACTTCAGTGCCCATCAGTCGTAGTCAAGCATGGATGGGAGTTACAGCTTGCCCTTCAGGAGGAGCACACGTTCCCCTGCCCCTACTATCGAAGTACCCAGCTGTAGTACAGTGGAACCATCAAGACTGACTGATAGGATTAGCATAAACCTAATGGAACCGAAGGTCTTACCTAGAAGCATCCCAAACGACCCTGTTTCCTTGAAAATATGACCTAACTTGAAAATAAGCCCTGGTATGATTTTTCAGTATGCTCATAATATAAGCCCTACCCAAAAATAAGCCCGTTAAGTGAAACCCCACCCTCCACCATTGTGCAGCAACCAGAAGATGACATGACTGTATTTGAATAAATGTAGATTGTTGTACATTTTAAAAAATGCCCTGAAAATAAGCTCTAATGGGTTTTTGGAGCAAAAAATAATATAAAACCCTGTCATTTTTGGGAAAACACGGCAGAATGCATGAGACAGCAATACAGGTGACAATACCAGAAGGCAGCTGAAGTGAGACACAGAACTGTGGAAGATGTTTACCAGGGCTTGGTACAAGAACTAAAGTTTCTTTCATATACAGTACATAGATCTATCTATATTACCTCCCATATTCCAGACTTTCTGCATATCAGCAACTTTATTTTTGAGGGGGAAAAGGTGTTTTGTTGTCACTAGTACTCAGATTGGGGGCAGAGAGAGATTTGCATAATTATGTTGTAAACCACCTAGAGAGCGGTATATAACAGTATAAGTGGAAATAACAACTAGTGACAGCTGGAAACTTTTGGCACATCCCAATATATCTTCTGCAATGCTGGACCAGGCAACAAAATTAGGAACGTTTTACCTCCATTAATTTATACTAACAAATGCTTAAATTTTCTAAAGTTCCTCCCCCAATCATCAGCTTCTTATTACAAAATTCAAGCTTAAACTGAAGAAAGTAGGAAAAACCACTGGACTAGTCAGCTATAATCTAAACCAAATCCCTTATGAATATACAGTTGAAGTGAAGAACAGATTTAAGGAGCTAGATTTGGTGGACAGAGTGCCTGAAGAATTATGGATGGAGGCTCGTAACATTGTACAGGAGGCAGCAACAAAAACCATCCCAAAGAAAATGAAATGCAAGAAAGCAAAGTGGCTGTCCAATGAGGCCGCCCAAATAGCAAAGAAGAGAAGGGAAACAAAATGAAGCGAGATAGAGAAAGTTACAGAAAATTGAATGCTGACTTCCAAGGAACAGCAAGGAGAAACAAGAGGGCCTTCTTAAATGAACAATGCAAAGAAATAGAGGAAAATTTTCTGTTCAAGAAACTTGGAAATATTAGAGGAACATTTTGTGCAAAGATGGACATGATAAAGGACAAAAATGGTAGGGACCTAACAGAAGCAGAAGACATCAAGAAGAGGTAGCAAGAATACACAGAGGAATTATACCAGAACGATTTGGATATCCCGGACAACCCAGATAGTGTGGTTGGTGACCTTGAGCCAGACATCCTGGAGAGTGAAGTCAAGTGGGTCTTAGAAAGCTTGTCTAACAACAAGGCCAGTGGAGGTGATGGCATTCCAGTGGAACTATTTAAAATCTTAAAAGATGATGCTGTTAAGATGCTACACTCAATATGCCAGCAAGTTTGGAAAACTCAGTAGTGGCCAGAGGATTGGAAAAGATCAGTCTACATCCCAATCCTAAAGAAGGGCAGTGCGATGTAAGGAAGTGAGAGCTGGACCATAAAGAAAGCTGACCACAAAATAATTGATCCTTTTGAACTTTGGTGCTGGAGGAGACTCTTGAGTGTCCCCTGGACTGCAAAGAGAACAAACCTATCCATTTTGAAAGAAATCAACCCTGAGTGCTCACTGGAAGGACAGCTCCTGAAGCTGAGGCTCCAATACTTTGGCCATCTCATGAGAAGAGAAGACTCTCTGGAAAAGACTCTGATGTAGGGAAAGTGTGAAGGCAAAAGGAGGAGGGGATGACAGAGGATGAGATGGTTGGACAGTATCATTGAACCTACCAACATGAATTTGACCCAACTCCGGGAAGCAGTGGAAGACAGGAGGGCCTCGCGTGCTCTGGTCCATGGGGTCACGAAGAGTCGGACACGACTTAACGACTAAACAAGAAGTTGAATCAATTGCATCTAATCCACTAATTCACTACTCAATCTTCTTCTTTCCAAGATGCAAAGAGACATAAACAAGGCCTGACAATTAACAGAAATGGGAAATTGTGTCTGTTCCTGAGCTGGAAGAAAAGGCTCGAGACCTTTCAGAAGCATGGCCTGTGTGATCAGACAAAACCTCTGAAGAGACCATATATGTTTGGAGACCACATAAAGGTTGCCTCAAATTAGAACAGGGTACCCAGTCAATCCCTTACCAAAAACATCAGAGGGCAAGACTTTGCACTGCACCTGAGAACAGGTAGTACTGGGCTAGAGATAGCAACAGTTCTCACAGGTAGATTCCAGTGTTTGAAAATTAGTTATGGTTTCGACTTTATAAAAGTTGGATACAACTGTGAATCTCCAGCTATTTTAAAAACACAAATTAGTCAGTGTGGCGATCCCCCTTTGCGCCCCTTATTTCTTTGGGCTCCACAAAGGTAAACTCGCCCTTTTCCGCTGCCACCAGGTATTATCTTAATACCAATTCAAGTCCCACACATAGGAGCTGCTCATATAACTTAGGAATCAGGGGTTTTGATCAAATATTCTTTTATTAATGAACAAATAAAAGGAAAATCAACATATAACCGTTTCAGGTATGCATATATATTAGATCATGTATTCAATCACTGGTATTTCTCATATTATGCTTATGGGTTCATTCCTGCTTGTTCAATATGATGTAAACTATTCAAGTCTCTTTCCTAACACCTCTAATCTATTCCTAAACCCTAACCCTCTCTCAATAGCTTCTTGGCCCTGAATCTCTCTATCCCTATCTCATTCCAACTGTCTCTCCCTGTCTCTTCCATCTGTCTAACTGTCCTTTTAGCTCCGCCCCTCCTGCCCTATCCTCTGATAGGAATGACGTCATCTTTTGGATCCCGCTACAGTCAGCTTTCCTGGCTTCCTGTGTAGAAATGGTAGTAATTTTTAACACACACCTGAAAAAATATATGCAAATCCAAAGTGATTAATAAAGACTTAAGTTAGTTAAGACACATAAGAAATATGTTTTCCCAGGAACCTGTATGCATAGCATGAACATTTTGTGTTAATTTAATAGGCAAAGATTAGTTTGGCAAGACAGTTGCACTTGTCAGGTGTGAATTCAAATTTAGCCAGCACATGTAAAACATCTCTTTAACAGAAAATGCTCAGTGCACAAAACACACATGCAAAATATTCCTGCATGCACACAAATCCAGCCCACAGTGTTTCATGCTGGCTTTCCATCACAGCTTGCTGCCCTGTCCAGTAGTGGTGGTGCTGCCTACTACTGTCCTTCACCATATCACCACCTCCTAACCCTTCCAATGCCTGCTTGATGATGCTCCATCCCATCATTCCGTCCTCTGACCTCTGTGCTCCCTAGCAACTCCTTCTCATTTAGCAAGCACAGGCTGCAAAAAAGAGAAGGCCATGTGCTCCTGCTTGCAGAAGAGCTAAACTCACAGCAGAATGGTTTCATTCTAAACATTTGTGGAAAGGAAGACATGCACTGATTCTCTGTGAGCATTTTTCAAGGTGCCATTGTCCCACCTCCTAGTTCAGCAGTTCCCTGAAAGCTGATGGAGGGCTCAGTTATAACCAGATTTTTAATTACACAGAGTAGGTGCTTCAGCCAACCTGCCTGGTACATGTTGAATAGATTAGACTAGGGCCAAGTCAGTCACATGAGCAAAAATACACCAGAGTGACAGAATGTTCTAGAGTCTAGAGCATTCTGTCACTCTGGTGCATTTTTGCTCATGTGACTGACTTGGCCCTATTCTAATTTATTCTAATCTTCTAATCTCTAGAGTCTAGAGAGCTATATTGTGTAAGGAGGTGTCCACGGAGGTTCAAAGACAGCATCACTTTATGTACAGATTGAAGATGGAATTAGGACGTTGGACAGGGATGATAACAGGGACAGTGTTGTACCTGCCCAAAAAACACATTTGCCTCTTATCTGTTACTCTCTCCCAGGCTGTCTCTAAGGTCCCTGATACTTGATTCCTTGCCTTCTGAGACTGACTTACAGTGATCCCATAGAAGTTATGAGCATTTATTGCAGGCATGTTGTGTTACAAGAGTAGTTAGAATATATATTGTTATGTGCTGTCAAGTCAGAGCTGACTTGGCGCAACTCTAGTAGGGTTTTCATGGAAAGTGAGATATTCAGTTCTTTTAAAAACCTTCAGTTTATGAAAGTGGGATACTGTGCTTCAGTACCCATGATTCAAAAAGAGACAAAATGGCTCAATATTGCTGCACAATATAGTGCCTGCATTTCCAGCAGAAAAAAGGATGCCAAGCTTTACATAACAAAGGGAAGGCTGAATGTTGACAACATCAGTGGCAGCAGTCAAGATGGTCTATCATATACCCTCTTGTGCTCACTACCATTCACAAAGTGACAATACAAAAGGGAAAATCCCAGAAGCTGACTACTTTTTTCCTCAGTTAGCAACTTCTCACCCAAACACAAAGCCATTATTAGGGCTGTTTTTCAACAAATGTGAAATAAAAAATGTCTTTTGAAATTAAAAAAAGGGGGAAGAGGTTGGAGTTTAAAAAGAATGTCACTGGAAAACAAGATAAAAATCTCTATACTATGTAAAATAAAGACAGTGAAGAAAGGCAAGGAGAAAAATCGATTCATTTGAAAATATGGTGTTGGAGGAGAGTTCTAAAGGTATGGAGGGCAGCCAGAAAAACAGAAAAGTGAGTGATCAATCAAGTCTGACTTTTAAAAAAATATTTTTAACAAATACAAAATACAGAATACAAGAGACAA